CAGTTGTTATCATTTATCTTATTGTATTAACAGGATTGGTGTACCATCTAACATTGCAGGTTTTATTAGAATCCCGGAAGTTGTACGGAGTCATTGTCAACAGATGTTTTGTAATTTAATGCAAATATTCCAAAGCACGCTTTTACGAGTCTGCGCTATGCACTTACGGGAAAAAAGTCAACGGACACTTCGGTTACTGTAAAACGAGAAACTTTTGTAATAGCTTGCTGCCACCCTTATGCATGCTAACCTATGGATTTGTCTGGAAAATTTTTTAGACTCTCTTTTTAACTCGTGCTTATTTGAGTGTCATAAATCTTGTTTCCGATAGCTAAAGAGACGGAATTAAATCCATACTCAAACCAATTTTTACCTGACAATTGAGTCGATTGTGTATTTGACTACCCAGTTAAAAGGAGATTTTGTGCAACAACATCGGAGTAAGTCCAACTCTATACCGAAAAAGGTTCTAATTGTTCTTGTTGATAGTTTTGGGTTTTTATTGATCAATTTTCTCTTTAAATAATTCCGTGCATCTTATCAAATAAAGGAAGGCCATCAATTTAGGTTCACTTTGGGTTTTACCCTAACTCGACCAAAAGAGAAAGTAGAACTGGGCCAGATGGTTTAAACAAGTGTTATCTGTATATAATAATAAAGTCTCTCGCATGAATAAATGCACCATTTTGTTTCTGCAATTATCAGATCAGTTGTAACATATTTCAGTAAATTAGATTTATTTGTTTCTTTAAAAAATACATTCTACATTTAAGTTTTGCTAGACCTTATCTGCTTATAAGATTGCGGTATTGTCTTGGCTTGGATTAATTTTCAATATTAAGACAATATTATTTGCCGTATGTGCCATAATAGCAAGAGTTAATGATTTGTTTTGTTGCTCACGTTAGACTTGTGATTTTAATATGTATTAGTATACGATGCAGTGTGTGAGAGAATTTTTTATTCGATTCTAATTCTTTATGATTTCGGATAATTAAAATTATATATATATAGTCGAAAAAATAATAAGTAAATCGCAAAAGCATTTAAAGGGCATTATATTCTCTGATTTTACTTTATATTTATAAGTTATTCCAAGATTACCAAATTAATTTTTAATCTTTTGAATAGCGTTTCTTTTTTGATCCGATCACGCATCAACTGCTTTGAAATTCTTCTGGATCTTGGTAAAAATACTTTATATGTTTTCTATAGCAAATCCATACTGTGGATAATAAAATGTCGAGTTCTAGTCCTTGAGGATGTTCAGAAAGTCACATACCTCCTTTACTATGAGCAATTTCCTGAAAGACCACAGGGAAAATTATCAGCACACTGTGTTGCACCATCTTCCCAGTTTTTTTATTTGATAAAAGGTTGTAGACTTTAGCACATTCCAAAACATCGGGTATTAACATATTCTGTACAAAGGCACTTACTAATACCATCTCAATATTATTTGCTATATCAATATAACTTGTTGTTGACTACATTTCTGATGCTGGGTATCATGTCTTTGGATTGGGGTACACTCTTGTTCTGGTGTAATATGTTCTTGTACAGGATGATCTTTTGGCTTGGTATAATACGTTTTTGTTCTGGCGTAATATGTCCTTGTGCTGGGACAATCTTTCAGCTTGGTATGAATTTTCTGCCTGGTGTACTACATCTTCAACACCAAGTTTCCTTAAGAATATTTGTGTTCCAGACAATTATCAGGGTAACTAGACGCAACTGAAATATTATGGATGTTGTCATTGATAAATAAAATTAACAATAGTCTTGGTGGAAGTATATGCACTTTTAACTTTATTAATATTCCTGTACTTGATACGTGATATTTCGGTCAACGCTAAATTGTTCGTGCGTAAAATTCAGATAATTTTGTGTTGGCTCAACTAAAGCGGTCAGATTATTAGAAGTTGAGTCGTATATTATTTTATCCACACACACGGAAATACGAGTTTAATGACAGTCGATTCCAAGCTAAATTAAGAACGACATACGAAATACGGAAAAGCTTACTTGCCTTACTGTGTGCAATAATCGCTTAACGTCGTCGACGTTTATTCTAAAATAATATTGTAATATCACAGAGCCTGTAGACTGGGAAAATCTCGAACTGTAAGACAAGCATAGCACAAAGCAATGCAGAAATTTTTTAGTGAAGTTATCGCTATTCCTAATTACGATAGCAGTCTCTCCCAAAACAATAAAACCAAAACCAGAAATTAACTCGTTTTAATCCGTACGGGCAGGCAATGTTATTAGCAGCAGTTGCTGATAGAAGGAAGTCGACTGACAAACATGGAACAAAGTGCAAATAATATTCAACCGTTGCAAACATGTACGAACCATGCAAGACTATGTGTTGCAGAAGAAGTACTGCAGACTGCCAACAGTCACCCATCATTAGATTGCAAACAATGCGTACTGCGTCACAGGAAAAGTACAAAGAACTCAAGCTTATATTGCAGATCAACATTGAAGAGTTCGCTGACAGAGACTATCCATAAATCGCGGCTCACATTATTATGTGATAGACGTTTTTTTGGAAAATCTGCTAGTAAGTATGTTTATCGCGACATGTTTTACAAAGTTACTGGCTGGTTTGTTATAAAACGCATCTATATTGAGCTGAAAGGTTTTAAAATTGGAGTACGTTTTGTAAATAATGTATAAGATAAAGAAAAATAGATGGTTTGCGTAGCGTGCAATTAATGGTTTGTATAACCTGGTATGACATAAGATTAATTTCCCTCTATAAAAAATCGAGCATCTAAAATCGTTATTCAAAAAATTCGTTAATGCTATCTGGTAATCGAGACTTCTTTACTGCCCATTCCTTCTGAGCCTTTATCATATGCATCCACATACCTCCATGACTTTCTTGCAAATTTTCGGATTGTTGTAATGTGAATACTATCCAATACCTCCTGTTTGCTACTTGTAGTTGACGTTTACTAGGACGAGGCTATTAGTGATTGATTATGAAAATTGATTTAGCATTTGGTATATTTTATGGACAGTTATTAAAACTTATCAATTAGTATACGATCAATGCGAACAAACGATTTGGCATTTATCACATGATATTAAATTAATGAATTTTATTGGACGGTTTTTTCGTTACATTGTTTCGAGTATAGAGTTGGTGCACCATATGTTTCAGAAATGTCGTTCACCTCCTCTGCTAGGTGTAATATCTTTAGCAACATCCAAAGTTAATTTTGCATTAATATTTACACTAAATTTCAAAAGGCCAGTGGAAAGCATAATATATTTCATTTCGTGCTTTATTCCTCCCGTTAAACGCGATCTACTCCAATATCTTTTATTAGTTTCATTTTTACTTGCCAGCCAGTCTTTTCTCTCTACAAGATAATAAAGAGCTTTACATTGATTTTATTGTGTTGTGTGATTTTACAAGTGTATATGCAGGATTATGAATTTTTAACTCGTAGTCCACAAAGACCTCACTTTATAAAATTATTGCCAAAACAACATGGAAGTAAAAAAACTTATGTTGTTTGATTTATCTATCTAGATTTTTAAATTGGTTTTAATGATATTAATTACCCTAATATAATTTTGACTTCATCAACATCAGGCTAGATATTATTAAACTCAGAGGTGGCTGCGTCCATCCTTTTATTAAGCTTTTCTAATTGCTTTCACAAAATTCGGTGGCGGTTATGACATCGACAGACGCAGGGAAGGATTCTACAAATATGGAAATAATATGTATAAACTAAACATTATTTCGTAAACCTCATTTGTCTTTGAGACCCTCTGCTAACTTCATGATATGAGAGGGTCCCAATTTTATTTTAAACGGGCCATTCGTATTGGCTTCGGTTAAACGGAAATCATCAATATCTTGATCCTGAATCTTTTTTATCATTATGTCATTATTATCACATCTAGATGAAGTCATATGCTTTTTATCATGCTCCGGGGGCCACTCTTTAACGTCATTAGAGTTATCTATTTGTGAAATAAACTATCTATTACGTATATTAATATTGTAAAAACAATGATGGCTTAGTTGCTGTGCAAAAATCTGATTAGTAACGCAATGCCGATCTCATGATTTGAGTTATAATAAATGTAAATACTGAAATACACGACAGGTCAGAAAAGCCACAAGGCATATGAGTCATATGTTCTTCAGCTATGCATGCAATAATCTAATTATGGCAGAGAGAACGAAAGGGGGATGAGTAAGATGTGAAAGAACAGTATGATCGCCATTTCATTTACTAAGCAAATTTTTATTTGATACGTCACTAATTTCTGTTCGGCGCGAGTCCATCACTAGTAGCGACAACGACCGAATATGCTTCATTGTATTATCTTGTTTCCACAGACTTATTATGTTCCTGTCAAAACTGCAACTATGCTTTTTATGTCAATCGCAGTGTAACAACACACTTCTTGCCGTTATCCCCGATATGGACGAGTGCATGTAAACATAAATGGCCTCCATCGATCGGAAAGTCTAATATGCGCCCATGTGTGCCTAACAAAGGACCCGAAACTCAGATTTAATATGACACGAATACGTTATTAGCATATCAACAATTGGTTCACCAAAAGTATTGTCTCCACAATCTAACCTTGTGCAATATAATTCACGCCAAAGCCTATATTGATTTTCTACCTTCATCAATATTACAATATTAGTAGCGGTGTTACGTGTCCAAATTACAAATACTGGAACGTAAATCTGCCTGAGTAAAAACTGCTGTTACCAAACAACAATGTTTACATACGTTTCGGCTCACCAGCCAGGTAGACCCAAGTGTCTGTCGTTCGGGCATCTTGATAACGTAACCGCTTAAAATGAATGAAACTGCAATAGTTCAGAATCTAGTCAGTTGATAACTACAATAAGGGATAAATACATCTTTATTTACAGAAATATCGATTCTACATTTACAAAACAGCCAGTAGGTTTATCATATAATACATTAATCAGTCATACCCATTCTTGATTATTACTGATTCTCCATGGGATCCATCCCCTCATCGTCCGCATACATGCTCCCGTCTCCTTCACTACACATCAAACCTACTTCATCCTGCCATTCCGGATCCGTCTCAAATCTATACATCGCTCCATCATAGCTTTCTTCTGTCTCTTCACTCATTGCCGGAACATCGCGTTCAGGATCACGAGGAGACGTAGGAGATGGTGGATTGGAGATGACAGACAACTCATTATCCTCGAAAGCATTACTCATACGAGAAACATGATTGGGAGAGTTGTCAATACTGTAATAATAAGGGTTGTGTTGTGGGCTCTTCGAGTGTTGATCTATTGGCAAAGGCTCAACACCCTCTGAAAGCATTTCTTCAAAGATTAGCTCTGTTTCTTCACACGATCGAATGGGATCTGTTCTTATCTGGTTTCTTATATCTCTGTATAACGGTGAACCGCTATACTCGTTTCTGGGTAATACCACCTCGTCGTCTTCTGGTAGATCTATATTTGGATTTACAATTATTTCCTGGTCGCAGACAATATTTTTTGAGCTTTTCTCTTCTTCATCCTCCCCAAGTTCTTCCGCTATTTCTCTTTCTATTATGTCCATAATCTGCTTATCGTTCGCCGTTTGTTCTTTCTTTGCATTCCTATCAGCATCCATTGTGTTCATCCTCGTAACAACCGGGGGAGAAGGTCTAAAGTCGGCGTCACCAGATACTTGCGTGCCTTTAAATAACTCCCACGGGTCGGGCATCAAGGATGGTGCTAAATAAGAATCGTCATCGTCAGATGCATCATCATTATAGGAAAATATAATTCCTTCGTTCAACACACTTGTATCTATCGAGTCGTCCATTGATTTGAACTAAAATTGATATATTGAACTTGTCTAATAAAAACATCGTTATATAAAGGCTTTAATTTCTCACGGCGAGGTGGTTTTATATGAACTACCTTGTACGACCGTGTAATAGTGGCGTGACAGTATTTAAATCCCGGGAGGAATCAGTTGGACCATTACTAGTCTCATGATTAATTAAGCAATTTCTTGGCAGTGAAAGTCATGTTATCTTGCAAAAAAAACAGTTGAATGAACCGAGGTCTGATTTTAGTATAGTCTGCTTAAGTAGGTTTTCACTTCACTGTTGACATATTACCTAATTTCTGACAAACACCTATATGGAAGCCTATTATGGAATCGTCGAAAGAAACAAGCACACTAGGCAGAATGTCGTTGGTGTTAGTTTTACGAGATGATTACGTAATTTGTTCATAAACTTGAAGCATCATAGTATTACCGAAATGATGAATGAGAATACAAGTTCCCCATTTCTCACATTATCACCGAGCAGATTGCTATCTCGATACGCTACGAAGACGATCAACCAAAATTGTTCAAACACCTGCGACGAGTTGGTGTTACAACGCACCCATGTCATGAATTGATTCTTTACGAATGGGTAATAAAACGGTATTGCTGCAGTCTTATGTAAAGACATTCAAGAATGCGAATTTTTATGAGGATTGTTACCAGCCAATGTTCGCAGAATAATGGTTAAAGCCATTCACATGATAAAAGAGTATGCAGTGCGAGCGAGTTTTTTAGGAAGGGGAGCATACAAAAGTAGTAAAGAGTGAAACAATATATAAATAGACATTACAATACCTGTGTTTTAATGTATGATATATTATAATTAAGCATAACTTTTAATATTGCTGATGTAATCTCGCCATATCGTTTACCTCATTGCACCACGTCCGCATCTCTCTCTCATTCTAATTTAATCGTGACAGAATCCGCAAGGAAAGAACAAAAAACATGATCACCACCGGTATTTGCAGCAAACGTAGAGTTAACACCCAAATAAGGTCCCTGTGCGATGCTTAGTCATATTTACGTAACAAAGATCGAGAATGTGAGACAAAAACGGAAAGTAAGATAACAGATTAATGTGATGCTTGGAGATTTCTGTAACGCACTTGTGTGATTTAAGTCTTATTGATAAGAACAGTCCGAATCTGTGAAATGTTTACTGTTGTTTTCATGTTGTTGTTTGTTGTTGCGCTATTTTGTGATTGTTTATTTATTATTTACTATTATTATGACTGGCCAAGCCCTTTTGTGTTCGAAGCAATGCATCGCTGGTTTGAATAATATCATCCTGTAGAGACTGCTGCTGAACAATCTATTGGATAACCCAGTTGAAAATGGCGATGCACGCGTAGGCCAATCTCTTGATATACACAGTTCCCGTCCTGCAAGCAAAGACAGGGCATGTGGTTCACATCTCCTCTCCTTCTCGATCGAGCTGTGAAATATCGATAATGAATTTACGGCCAGGAAAATATCCCCGACTGTTATGAAACCATTCTCGTTATTTGTAATGGGGCGTCAAAGTGATAAATGATGTTTGGTGTGGCTGAATTCTCGTTTCTATATTGACTTGTGATTACAAATAATTTGATACAATGGTGTTATTACGTAATAAATATACTATCATTCGCAAAAACCTGTTTTATACATACGACTGCTATCGCCGATTTGATTAAACTGACTATAATAATTAATTTATTTATTCAAAGATCCACATATCTTTACACTTATACTTATTTGGCTCTATTTATCTCGCATATGTATAACTGTACGATGTAATAAACAATCGGCTGTTGGCTACTCGTTATTCGATCGCTCCGTGTAATTGATTGACTGTCGAAATCTAGATTAGTTCACACTGTACCCTTCATATATAGCTGATCCGTATTTTCTTTTCAACTTGCCCTTCTACAGATTATGAGAATTGTCTACTTGATAATGCCTTCTTAATGGGTGTCTAATTCACCCTTCATAGCACAACATTGACGTCTCTTCATCAGTTATTGTCTCTACCCTCAAAACGACACCGTCATAATATACACTTCCCTCGCCTTTATTACTGAGAAGATACTCAAAAGGTAAGGTAACAATTTCCCAGGGTAGAACATAATTATACACTTTTTTTTTGTAACCCTATAAATAATAACACCAACCCCTCCGTTGATCCTACTCTCACATTCTCAACGTTCTTCTTCGCAAAACAAACTATTTCAACCAGGTATTAGCAATTCGCATTCATCAGGCATGTATTGAAGATCCACCAAAGATACGGAGAGAAGCAATAAGTTTGGTGGGAAATTTGATGTGAGGAATATAAAATTTAGTTTAGATGATTTGCTAAAAGCAATTTACTTGATAACGTTCTTTGGGCATCTTTACTACAAATCTCTATTAACATTTTTTTCTTTGATTTCGATAGCTATCCAATATCTCCTCACATACTCAGCACGTAAGTATTCGAACGACATCTCAAATCACAGTCACGTTGTGATACCAACATATAACAAAAACTTTGACCTGAACACTTAGGATGAACATTATAGCGATGTTAAATCCCATGCCAGAGATAACCTCTAAAGAAAAGGCAGCACAAGAAGCACGCCATATACTACGTCTATTCAGATGTTCAATGTGCTGCAAGTTTCTAAATGATCCGATAACGTTATCGTGCGGGACTTCCTATTGTCGACAATGTCTCAAGGCTCGAGCCATACACACATCATACACATCAGCAACCGCTTTAAGATTTACTTGCCCTATAAACACGCCCAACTGTCGACACAACCACCCTCACCTACTTGGAGATTTAAAGGGGGACGTCACCCTCCACAACCTGACTGACATTTGTCGGAAATTGGTTTCTGACTATTTTCCATCACTCATTGAAGATGACTGCGAAGATGATGACGATGATGACGACGACGATGGAGATTTTCGAGTATTAGGTGCCTATATGAAAAGCAATTCTGATGACGAGTTGCCCATAGCAAGACCGTCAGAGTATGGATGGAATATATCGCCAGAAGTATTTAACACTCTCAAAAACTTAATGTTGCCCGAATTAGATTGTAAAGTCTGTACCGAAATATTTATAGACCCAATAACAACACCATGCGGACATACGTTCTGCAAATCGTGTATAACACGCTCACTTGATCATAGCGACAAATGCCCACTATGTCGACATCCGCTAACGAACTATGCGTTCTTTCAACATCATCCGATCAACAAGACGATACATAATCTCTTGCAAAGCTTTTATACCGAATTATGCAAACAACGACAGACTGCATTAGAACACGAATTATACCACAACATGCAAGAAACGCCTATATTTGTGTGTTCCCTAGTCTTTCCACGAATGCCCTGTTTTATCCATGTATTCGAACCACGATACCGTCTTATGATACGTCGATGTTTGGAATCACGACAACGTCGGTTCGGTATGGTTCTTCCCGATCGCAACGGCCAAGGGTATTGTGACTATGGGACGATGCTTGAAATCAGATCGATTGAATTTCTACCCGATGGACGTTCGCTCATCGAAACCATCGGTTCATATCGGTTTCGCATAATTGAGCGTGGGATGCGTGACGGGTATCATGTTGGAAAGATCGAACGCATAGACGACCTAGATCCTGAGGAAGAAGAAGAATTAGAACGCAAGGCGATTGCGAGAGCACAATTGAACAACGCCAATCCTAATAATCCCCGCATAGAAGAACCGACTACAGCCGAGCTGATTACTACCGCACGCGAGTTTATCGAATCTCTCAGGAACGGATCTGCGTGGATATTGCAACGTTTGAATTCTACGTATGGCGAGATGCCTGATAGTGCGGCAGGTTTTTCTTTCTGGGTTGCTACCGTAATCCCAATAGATCCGTTTGAGAAATCCAAGCTTCTCGAGATTAGGTCGGTGCGAGAGAGGTTAAAGTTGATCAATTGTTGGATTAGTCAACTGAGAAGACAATGGTGGTTTGCTAGGGGAGGATGTACGATTTCATAGCGGGACAGTAATATGCATGCCCAAAACATTGGACATTTTTTTGATTGAGATTGAGTGAGTTGAAGTTCATACACGTCTAGTAGTTTTGCTGGCGGAGATTTTACGACGCGTATACAGACAATTTACGAGGGTTCACGTTAAAATTTTATTTCAAAAGTATTATTATCTTTGAGTGAATCCTCTATGATTATGTTGATAGAAATTAAAAATTTAATGCTTTATTTTCTATGCCGTTTTTTTTCTCAGTTACAGGCATATTGTTTTTGTTAGCTTTTTTTTTTTTTTGCCAAGTATTAAATAACAATTCTTGGCTAATACTACAATAATTTTCCAGTGGCGCCGTTGACGTTATGTTGAACATTATTCTTAAATCAACATTGAACGTCTTTAATAAGATTACTACTTAGTAAGACACAAATTACTATCAAATCAAAATAAATATGGTTACGAACATAAATGCGTAATTCAATTCCATCTATTTTTCCTTGGGGTTTGTTTACTGTCCGTGATTGTTCACAATTTAAATGTTCCCATTTAAGGAATCAACAATACCCCCGAATCTATCAAGTTCTAGAATAAAAAAAAAACCTTGAAATGCAAATCAAGGACTTTGGCGTGCATAAACTATCCCTTTTTTGAGAAAGTCTAGATGTTTACCGGCGGGTCTAGATTGTGACATACAACTTTAAGTCACATAGAGTGAAACCAATCAAAAGTGATTAAACAAACGTTGTCTTTTAAGGTTTTACCATCTTTCAAACAAAACGTTTTAACATGAACTAGCGTCTGCAGTAAGATGCAGATACAGCGTTGATTGCGAGATGACTATTTATATCGTTAGAATTGTTTTCCTGCGTCTCTGACTCACTTTTGCCTATGCTGAGCGGTCAACCAAGTTGTGCGACCGTAAAACAATGTTACGGTGCTACCGATTATATCAATGTTTCTGTCTCGTTCAAAGACAATAGAACAGGGGTTACAAAGAATTATCAGAACGCTGCTGCGAGACATTGTATGCTGTATATATTGTAACTGTAAATATAATTTTAATTTAACCCTTTTCATGGCCATAGCGCCTTGTATTAATGGACATCAGCGGGTAATATACAAACTTGTGAGCAAAAGACAATTAAAGAGGTCAGGTCACTACTTTTAAATGCCGCGTATTACTCAGCGCGAGAGTGAAAATATGCAACGAGAATGTCATCATTGAATAGACTCGTTATGGTAGTCGTTGTAGATTGGGACGACAATCACATGACATAATCCGACGTTATTATTGGCGGCGTAATTAATGTTAAAGTCAAATACAAGGTTATTATTATCATTCAACATTGGCACAGTTTAATATCTCATAACCGTAACTGTTACCCGGAGGCATGTCACTTGAATCAACTTTTATTCAAATCTTCCCCTTTATTAACGAGTTGGTTCCGTCCTCTTGTCATATTTACGTATTGGCAAGTCACAAAAGATGGGACTATAGTTATGAGAGTATTAATCAATTTCCTAATCGAGTGTGCGTAATTTTGTAGCATTCCGTTTTGCGTAAAATACCGATTACATATTTTCTAAATTAGTGATCTATTTACTTTCGTAATCCTTATTATTATCATTTCCAACAAAGAATTACGCGTAAACGGTCAACTAAATTAGATAATACCCCATTTATTTATGTGATTATAATATAAACTGAATGATAAAATTTGTCACACGCAGATCTATTATAAAAAACCTTTGTTTTGCATAGCGACGTATATTCTGTTCCCGGGTTATAAACACAACATTGAAATTTTAATTTTTTTTGTGTTCTTGACTTTACAAAGAATGCGTGAATAAATACAAATGCTAATACTGCTCACGCTTGTATAGTAAATTGCTAGCAACTATAATAAGTAATGGTTGAAAAAACTAGACAAAGTTCCAGCCCTTGTCCAAGTAACGATTTACTGGAAAAAGACACACGAATCATAGTAGTTTACCAGACCAATTCTGACTGGTTTGTTTTGTCATTCAAACTCATTGCTATTGATGCTTCAGATAAGCTATCAAGCCGTAAGCCTACATTGCTTTGTTCGGTGCCACAGTAGCTGAACAAGGTATTGGTTTTGCCCAACATCCAAATTATACAAAGCCCCATTTCTAGCGGGTTTAATAAATGTAGAACCGCCAAAGTTCCATACACATTTGTCGGCCATTTCATAGTCTACACGATATAACATGTAATTAATAATTGATTAGTAAAATTGATAGACAAAACTGCTCAGAATTAATAAACACTTACCAAAGTCATCAAACCAAGCTAAATTTGATCAAGACATTGGATTTAGTTTACGATATTATAAATAGCACTAAACCAAACTTTTTGATGTCAATAACAATGTCTAATGCTTACCATCATAATCTCCATCTGTAATACTCTCGACCATTTCATGCATCTAATGAGAAATAAAAGAAACACGTCAAAATTGGAGAATTCTATCTATTTGATGAAAAATTTAAACGTTGAGTTTTACTAATTCATACTTACGATAATACTGGCCATGCCATCAATGCCAGGATTGTTGTTGGGGGAAATTGAATTGGCATACAACGGAGCGCATCCATCAAGGCATTTGGTGGGATCACCAACAAATGCGTATTTGATATCTGCCCCATGAATTGTATCAAATGTATGAAATCCGCAAAAGTCGCTACAGAATCCAGAAGTCTAACGAAGGAAAAAAAAAGTTGGGTTGCAGTTTTTTGTAATATATTTGTTTGATATTTACGAGCAAAGATATAAAAATAAATCCGTTTACATACGTGGTTCACATCCGAACTGCCTAGAATGAAATAAACAGCACCCGGATCTGCTGGCCATTGCGCTTTCTTTATCGCGTTTGAGACAACATTGACCATAGTATTGTCCGTAATAGATTTGCCAACGGAATAATTATCAAGAAAAGTTCCGGCAAGTCTGACATTGCTAAAATAACAAGTATATTATTGGATTAACTAGTATCAATGACGGATCATTCTAGTGTTCATTAATGCATTTACTAATCCACCCTTACCCACTGAGACTCTTATTGTTACCGTCGTTGTAAGAAGCGAGAATTTTAGTATAGCCGGTTGACCCGATATTGTTCATCAAAAAATCGAGAGTACTGCGATCAGCACTAGACCAGCTACCATAATAAATATAATAGATGTCAATGGTGCCAGTATTGACAAATCTAAATAGAATAGTACACAGTTAATTATATCGTTCACATTTGATATTGTCATCACATGATTCTTCTCACCCTCCATGGTATTTAATCTTGCCAGTCCTTGGAGGACCGCTTAAGTCAGGGCTGCCAGATTGTATACCGCTGACATCACCGTTCGATTCCGAAGTGAAACTTGGAGTAATCTTAAGTTTATTGTTTGGATTTCTTACTCCATCAGCAGGAGCAGGGACAGCTGAAACGTATGAAAAGATGGGGATTGCGATCAGGAGACAGGCGAAAAAGTGGAAGAAGCGGGGAAAGCGGGAGAATAGTTGAAAAGACATCACGATTGAATTGGAATATTTTGAGTGAGATAATTTAACCGAACAAAGATTGATTGAATAATAAAAGACGGAACAAATATAAATGAACGTAGATATAAATAAACGTAAGATAGATGAATGTTATATAAATAAACGTTATATAAATGAGAGAATTTAAACCAGTCCTTATTAACGAAAGACTTAAAAGAATGTATTTAGGAATTAAGGCAAATATTCCAAAAAAGATCGTGATAACGCGAACGAATATGCAGTCTAGATTGAGAACTACCTGTCTATTTATGTTTTCCTCAGAACATCGCCATATTATGCACGATAAATTAGAACAAGCGTCTACTTCGTTCGTTGCTTTGCATCGATATAAACAATAATTAGTGAATTTTGAATAGATGCATCATCCATGACTTTATTTGTATATTTAAGGTGTAATGTTAAAAGTCTAATTTGATGTCAGATGTCATAATATATCACAAAATTGCATGGTTATAATTAATTATCCGTTTCATTGCTGTTAATTTCATCGTACGTTGAAAGTCTTGTTGTACATTTTTAGCGCGATATTCGTGTTACATACTTGATATGAACATCAAGTAAGAAAATATATCCAACTGTTAACACGCTTACAAAACATCCTAATGTTTATGGATATTTCGATCATAACGCCTTATATGGGCTAAAGCAACCAAAGTTGTCCAAAGTAATATGAATAATAATGCAAGAAAAATTTGGTGTCATTTGACTTGCAAAGACCCGGTCAAGCAGTGGTGCATTGGAGGCAAATTCAAATCAACAAACCATCAACAAACCCGTCTATTATTCTTGCCACATTGTTAATTGTACTTTATATCCAAAGTTTGTATATATCATAGTTCAACAAATTTCTATCCACACCAAATTAATAGTAGCGTCAGTTCAATAGTCTTCTTGAATACCAAAGCTTATTATATAAACAATCTTTCTTTACGAAAACTATTATCTTTGGCTCAAACTGCTTGACCAATTATGTCTGGGAAATTGTTTTATTTTTCGACTTTGCTGCAGTATAAAAAAATATTTATATCGTCAAAAAGTTTTAAACCAAATTCATAGTTAATCATATTATACTTCAAACTAGCATACAGCAAACATTTTCGTAATATATTTGACGCAGCGTAATTGGTGTCATGTTTGGATTACTTTGCATCGCATAACACCGACTAGTAACCGATTGCTTCAAATAAACTCTGTGTTCCTGCCTCTGATCGTGGAGTCATTGTACTGTACAAGTTGTTTGTTACACAAGTTCGCCACATGTTTGTGAACTATTTAACAAGACTTTTGTTCCCATGACTCACGACTAGCGGATAATTCTAAACTTTGCTGTCAGAATAAAAGCTAACGCTTGAGTCATACATACAAAATTGAGAAGAGTTTTTTTACTGCAAAAATAAAATATAAGAGAGCGTAAAAATTTCCATACCAGAAATAAACATTTTGGCCCCCTTCATTTCTGTATGCAAACGAACCTACTACTTGTGTACTCAGAAAAGTAAATTTCAAAACTTGCAGTTTTTTAACGTATACTTTGCATGCATACATTAGATACGATATATCATATTTCTAATTGGTAAATTGGTACATTTGCTTTGAAAATAATGTCGTGGAATTGAACAAGTAAAAAGTTTTGCCTCGAGCGAAACGAATACCACAGGCTATACGGAAATCTGCTCGATAATTGATATGGAAAATAAGCAATTCCTTATTTTAGAGCTTAATTTTAGCTTATTGACGATATTCTCTGATCGGGTAATGCCTTTTCAGTCTTATAACGGTCTACGGTTGTCCCTTAAACGAACACGCATAAACTATCAGATGAGACAAGACAACTACTAAAAAAACAAAAGCCAGCTTTATCAAAGATTAACCTGATTGTTACTGAGAAAACCCTTAATCAAATTGGATACCGACTTAGTTGAGAGTCTTTAACCCCAATTCTGCAAAAGCTTCTCTTCGACCATTGTTGTTATGTTTGCCAAACTAAGCAGAATTCGTGTAACTATTCCCAGTTTGTAAAGTGAAGACAAGTATTCTACAGTATTATTATTATATGATATTCGAACAAAAAAAGCAAAAGTTTACAAACATATCGGAAATAATAAAACCATTTTTAATATTCCAACATATAATACAGATAAAAGACGCACGCATAGGTTCACTGTATGACATTAATATTAATGTAGTTTAGATCTCTTATTTACATATACAGTAATCTATATACGGTGGTTGGTAATTACAAACTCTCGTAAAAGTTGAGCTCGCAAGTCAAACACCAAGTCTCCAGAAAGCTCGAATTGTTTCGGCAACGAATTTATGAATAACTCGTAAAATCACGTAATACAGTAAGTAATAGATAAAATAAAGCTAATAACCAATGCTTTCGCCCCTTTCTGTTTTTTGCTTGAGTTTTTTACCAAATTTTTCTGACGCAGATAAATATCACCCAGCAGTTATTAAGAAATAAATACAGACACGCAAAGAGACGACATTTATGGGTCAAAGACAATTGGTCATAGAAATAATTACATTGTAACTGCGCAGATTTTGGTAGAGAAACTGTGCTGTGTATTTCGAACTTTCTATGTTTTGCGGCGGAGGCGTAGCCGCACATTCCACCCAGCGTCAGTCACAAAAAATTATTTTTTAGGTTGGTAATAATATTTTGATTAAATATGTAAGAGCATATATAGTTAAGAAAGACGAATAAACAAACTATTATAATAATAATAATAGTATTTCAAATACATCATCGACTAGTGAAATACTAAAAATCTAAGGCAAAAACGCAAATAACACGTCCGTTATGAGTGCAGAAACGCTTTATTGCCAAATAGTCATTCTTCACAACTATACAATGCAATTCCGCCATCGTCCACGTAGACAAACCAAACATTATTTCACTACAAATTGAACATAAAAGAGTTATCTAACCCACTTATACAAAATACAAAACCCAAACATATTACCTACCCATATCGACAATCATAGTCAACAATGCTGACTCTACCGCCATCCATATATACGACATTAAAAAAGAAATTAAGACTAAAACTGTTTTGTTCAAAGCAATGGCGTTTCCCTTAATTTTACAACCGAGCTGATTTACGTCCGCCTCATGCTGCTAAAGAAAACTCAAAACGGCATGTTACGAACACGCTCTTTTCGGATGACAGAGTATAAGTAGCCGGCACAGTGACTGACATTCGCGAAAGTGTAAGACTTGTACGTATACAAATTCTATACAAAAATATGTACCATTTTTTACCAACCTTCATACGTTATACAGATAACCATATGTAATATTACAATCTAGTCAAAGCAAGCCAATACGTCTCCGGAAGCGTGCAAATTGTCATCATGGTTCGACATGAAGTTAGCAAAAAAGACCCCTCTGTGAGCGACCAAAAAACCCAAATTTGGATCAAAAAGTTTTAATAGTGGGTGAACTCGACAACAAATTACTGCACAATTTGAGTACATACCCGACACCAAACCATATGCCACCACATTATTATTCCCACATCATTATCATTATCCGCCTCCGAAAAGAGAGCATTATCATACAGTTTGATAATAGAAACTCTGAACAAAATTTCCAATCTCTGCCTCTACTGACAACAATAATAGCTTAGGACCTAACACAGATACATCGACCAAACCAATATTAGTAACGGAAGAGCAACTTTCCGATATAGCGGCTAGTAAAGTAGACTTTTTAAATATAATGAGTCCGAATGAATAGGCCTTTCGTTGATTTTTTTTTTTTTAATTTAACATATCTCTATTTTAAATAGCTTATGTAACTGTCACAATTCACGCCAAAAAGTTGCACAAACTGTTCATGTATCCATTCAGATCAGCAAATAAATAAGATTTATTATCTCAGTCTACACAAAGTGCATTTTAAGCGGTCAGTATGCGACAAATTAATTCCGTTCTTGATAAAGACGAAACTATAGGGAAAGGACCCAGCGGTACACTGAGCATGGTATTCGATGAAATTAAGAAATTGAACAAAGGCAAAACACGTCTAAATATTACTTGTAATAACGTAGGTGTACAGAATAAGAATGCTACTGTTTAATTTACTTGATATTTGTGTAATTTGCGGTAATTATGAATTAAAACTTATGATACTGAATTCAAGGGCCTCTCACGATCGGTGAACTCACACCAGTCAAATTCACCCGTTCGGGGCATTTTGCCTTTTATTGCACTGGAAGTATTTTTTAGACTGATAAAAATCTCCACGGAAAAACGACCGTAAATTGTGTGAATGATATCGTTGAGTTTGTGAAAGCACAGCCGGATTAAAAAACAAGCTCAGTGTTATGATGATGGAAAAGCCTTTCAATATTTGAATGTTGAGCATTTAATAAAGAAGTTTCGTATTTGGTATTTGAAACAACCGATGCTGTAGTTGTCAAAGTGTTAATGGTGCTTATATAGAATTTAATTTTTGAAAATAGAAAACCAAAGAAATTAAAAATTTTTTATCTTAGTCATAACTCTTCCCTTCCGAATTACAAAGGATAAGAATATTTTTATTATAATATGTTAGACAAATTCCAAGATACAATCACCCAAGATAATGAAATCATCGATGCCTGATTAAATCGCCAAAGGGATTTTGGTATTAATCCGGCTCACCGTTTAATGCCTGCAGATGTGCAAATTACTTGTCCAAGACTAACATACTATATACTGACAATGAATAAAATATTAGGCTAAAATTCTCTCCATTATTTCAATGCTTATTATAGACAAGCTCGATAATCCTATACGAATCTTATTGAACCAGGTAAACATATTCGGTAGATGCCAATTAATATAGAATGTTAATATTACCAATATCAAACGGATCATTAGTAGGTAAATCCTTGTCATAAAAATGTATGGTGAATTTGGTATTTTGCGCTGAATACATTGATAAACACATTGGATGCACACGTTTTATAACCAAAAGCGTCAATAGCTTTGTAATTTATTACAACACAACATAACCGATTGGTTAAACAAGATCTAGTGAGAAGACAATAAAAAGACCGACTTTATGTATATATTCTATTCGGTTTAAACTCGACTCGTACAATAAACGTAATTGCAACGAGGTAAATTATAAAAAGAACATCATAATCAAAGTCTTTTTCTCTCCATAATTCATGTAATCAAAGTTTTTTTTTCACTAGTTTTTAAGGGAAATTTTGTGTGCAATTTTCTCCCTGGTCATTACAGCAAGAACATGTGCATGTTTGAGTGTTTTGGTTGAAGATGCACACCTCAGTTCCTGAAATAAGTAAAATAATTAGATGACATATATATTTTAACAGAAATAAAAGGTTAATCATAATTACCGTCGCAAAACGGTGCTGGATCAGGACACTGATTAGCAGCATTAACGCTTGGTACCATACTGGCAAAGAGAGCAAGAGCGATCAACAGGAAAATAATTTTTGAATTCATGTTTACTTTTTGTTGTTGAGCTTGAACGGGCAGCTTGGCCATTTTTTATATTTGAAGAGACTATCGAATTAATTTCGGTTATGTACAAGTTGAGTTATTCCGAAATAAAGTTGGCAACATTTTCCTTACCCGATAAATGATACTTTTCAAACAACCCTGATGCGAGGAGTCATAGATGTGCTCTGTTTGTATTATTTGGCATCATGCGGACGGGCCTACGCAATATGCTGTACATGATAAAAAAGGCTGCGCCTCGAATGTCTTAATTAAATAGCATTAGTATATCAGCTATAAGAATAGATTAATTGTGATAATAATGCACAAACCACTTTTTTAAATGCATTTATGAAACATTAAGTGACAAATAAAGCCACTTTTCCTGGCCCCTGAAATTTTTTTAATTTGATTACCCCCGATTTGGTAATCGTATCAAAGGCCCATTGGTCTACTGTTAAGTTTGCAGAGGCATAAATGATCGCGCGAACAATAAATAAAGCTTTGCTAATTAAAATTATTAACATCTTCATTAAGTTGCTCCACAAGACGAGTTATTAAGGACTGTGTGTAAGCCTTTAGTGTCTGTACAAGTTTCTCTCGGTCCTTTCTTCCCCCAGTCGGCTATATCGGCTTGCTGTATGATGTATGATAATTACTGTGGGATACTCTGATAGTTACTGGTTAAATGACCCTGCTTCTGCTAATTAATCCCTTTCCTGATTTTATTTCGTGCAATACAATGATCGCGCATTAAGTTTCCATTTCCGCCTGTTTCCACGTTAAAAGCTATTGAAGAAGCGTCTAAAATAAAGTTTTATAAAAAATTTGCATGGTAAATAGAATGGGATTGGCGAGTAATTTTGGCAACATGGTATGATATGAACTATGCTAGCTACCGTAATGCATTGGCGAATAAAAAAGTAGTAATGTTGAGATATAAAATTGGGCCTTAGATATTGCACAATATCGAGCATATTCTTTTGCTGTAAATCGTAACTATCGCGAGAAACTTTTATTCACAACAAGGTGCTCGCTAAAGCCCAGTTTAAGCCGTTGTAAATCGTAACAAGTTGAATACAGCGAAATTTGTCTGGTTAAAAAAATGTGTGCCTTATTATACTTTTCTTTCAGTGTCGTATTAGGGTTATTTAGCTTTTTTTTATTGAATATTTGTCGGGCAAGTGAACGTCTTCCTTTGAATCGACTCCATCCTTTAGCTAATTCTTCTTTTCACTTTGTACCTATTGTAGTCGAATTAACAACCTTTTTTAAGTTTTGAAAAAATAGCGGACGAGACACATTTATGATATGGGTATATGATTGGTCTTAACGCATCTGCGATTGTAAATAGTCATTATTTGTTATGCGCACCATATTCATTACCACGCCTGTTATTATAAAACTATTGCATAAATTGTACAGTACTGATACGCATACCTTTATTTGGAGTTCTAATACTACAATTTACAATTGGGATTTAAATAGCCACTGATGTCTGTGTATTTGGCATAAATAATCCTAATAACGATTAGCGGCTGCATCAACAAAATTATTAGACAAAAATATAATAATAATAATAATTATATACAGTGATTTCGTTGTTAGCTCCATATTGATGTCTTAATAATTCGGTACACATCTCAAAAATTGGATTGCGTTGATAAAAATTTATTGCAAACCCGTGTTGTAATATCAAAATTATAATATAGAACAGTGTTTGAGGCTTTTTGCCCGAGCTTTGTACCTACGTTTAAGGTAGAACGCTTATTACCTTATTGGTCGTAGTGTGCCAAGAATTTTTTAATTTCTGCTTTGAACGTACAAGCATTGTGTTATCATATAACAAAGCAAACATGTAATAATATCACAACTTTGATAACTGCTGTTATTATAGATCATTATTGTTATTTTGAAAGTTATAAGATTATGGACACGCGTTATTGTTATAAACCGTTATAACAATGGAAATCGTAACACACGTTAATCTCATCGTCCAGACGCCAAGAATTTGCATTATTCCGTCACAGTAAATGTCCCGCCTAAACATAGTCTACTCTGCCGATACGATAGAATAACTAAAATAAGATATCACGCAACATTGCTGAATTTCAATAAAAAACTTTGTTTGCATGGGTATAAATAAAAAGTATAGACTTTTTCTAAATTCTCTAAATATAACCACCTTTGTTCGTACGCCAATTGGATTAATTTGCTAAAGTGACGCTTTTCTGTAAAAGGTATTGCAGCATGCATCTGCGAATGTTCGGTTTATCTAATCAAGTTTTAACTAACCAATTCTAGATAGGGTGAAGCACAAAGCACCCGAAATTGCTCTATCTTTTAGACAAGAAATCTTCTCGCGCGCAAATGGGAAGCCTTCTTGGTTGTGAGCAGACAGGGACAGAGATAAGAACTATTGTTTATACTTATGTATTGTTTATTTAAAATTTCCTCCATGCAATTTGCCCAATGAAGAGTCATAAAAACGCGATTTGTGACCTCCTCCTTTGTAAAATCCCAGAGTTTGCGTAAATAAATTATCCCTGTCAAACCGTAAAATATTTACACCACCAATTAATAGCTCAACATTAGCAGATGCCAAGAAAGCCTATTTTGCCAATTTAGTCGTGATTTCCTTGGCAGATTGATTTACTTGCCGTGTAACAAATTTAAGTGAACTCGTTTAGAGTATATATTACACAGACAAGGCTTTTAAATTTTATAAAAAGGCCTTATGAAGAACAGCATTTCATTAATTATTCTCGGAAAGCAAACGTTGATCAACACCAAATTCGATAAAGACGTTCGCTTTGGATATTTTAAACCCAGACATGTTGACCACTTTTGAATCTGCAAATAAAAGGTTTGACCCCATTGTAAAGTTAGCTAGCACGCAATTTATCCGACTTGGCAACCTAAAGACTAGATCAACTTGTTTTTGGTCGGTTTGAACAAAATCACCTTTTCCCAAAAATCTTACCAGATACGACATTGTTTTATGTGAAGCTGATACAAGGCACACGAAAGACTCTTGTCGATAAAGTATATGCTGTATAGTAAATCACCGCAGACTAAATTACCTCGAGTCTGTCATCAAAAAGACGCTTAGTTTTATCATTATAACTATGGTTAGCAGAATCTAATCGTGCTGAACTCTCTAAGTTCAAATTTATTATATTATTGTCTTAGTACATTTATACAATTTCTGCTATTATAGCTCTACTATAAATAATGGGTAAAAAAAGTTCGTTTGTCGTTGCATCCGCCTAAACGCGGCAACTATTCTTGTTGGGTACGTTTTCTGCATCATCGTCCCTGCGCGTCCCAACCGAGTCTGCTTTATTGGCTATGATAACTTCTTCATTATTGTGCGTCTTTCCATAAGAGTTGCCTCCAAACTTGTTAGCCGTACTAATCTTGTTGTCTGTAACACCGTTTTCCTCAGAATTTTCCCTGGATCTTCTCAATGCACCAGCCACACATTTGGGTAATGGTATCGATAAATTCATTACAAAGAGTGCTTTGTGAAGATAGTCAATCGCATGTACATTCGGCCAGCACAAATCGTGTAGTTTTAGCGTAAAGTATAGATTAAACGCAAAACAGGATAATCCCACAATCGAAGTAGTTATAAAGTACCAAAAACCGACAGCTATACTCTGTGGTTGCATTGTCTGACTCGAAAGCGAAAACGTCCGAGACGAAAAAATCGTTGACCGACCAGAAGCTGATATCGATTGAGCAGCAGATTGAGAACAAGGAGTGGTTGTGGCGGCGGTTGTAGTAGTTGTTGTTGCAGTTGTTGTTGTTGCAGTTGTTGTTGTTGCAGTTGTTGTTGTTGTGCCAGTCGTCGTGGTCGTGGTGAGGGTGGTGGGCTGTCTTGTCGATGATGATGGACAGTCGTAACACGCACATGATAAAAATGCATAAGATAGAATCGGCTTGAAGGTATAAAGGAATGCCAACGCCGCGATAATAAATCCCGATACGAATTCAGCCACATTAACGGTAAAGTTGGGCGAGTATCTCGTTCTATCCGATAGCAACAGTAACTGGGTTAATGCCAAAATGTTATAAATGGCTGTTCCGCCAACTGTCAAGTGCCATAATTTGGTCTTCCACGCGTTTTTTTGATAGAATCGACGTCCAAGATCGAGGAAGGCGATATTGGTTAATGTTGCGTATAATGCCGAGGATGCTACGCTGAACATGTGATATATTTTGGTTACGTACAAATCTGTGGATTTTGCCCGGTAGTAGTTAAACATTGACATTGCGCAAGTTATAGTACATGCTAATAGGCTGAATTAAAAAGAACAAAAGTAGTTTGTAAAAAGAAAAGTTTGCGTGTGTAGTATGCATATAACAGCATGGAGAGAGGGAACTTTACTTACAAGGCCATTCGTAATCGAGTGAATCGTAATATACAGTGGTATGCTATGATAATGACACTCATTCCGGTAATTACCATTGACAGAATTAGTATGTTCTGTTGAGTATCCATCATATAAATTAATGTCCACTAAAGCAGTCCAGATTCTTTTAATTGACAGGAGACGTATTCGGTTTCAAGGCTAACCCGTCTTGAATTTAACGATTGTTTGCTAAAAAATATCTGGGTCTATTACTGCTGGACAATGAGTGCGTTACTACTCACCGTTGTTTTCTCCGGCTGCTGTTATATCAAATACAGTACAGGTCACGTGTGGAATATTCTGTGACAATATTCAATAGTGGTACATTAAGAGAACAATAGTTATTAACGTATTAAAAATGTATCGTAGTTCCATCGTTCGCATATCTCCTGTATTCTTATTATTGATTTCGGTCTATGCTATTAATGATCATTTGTGTTAATTATGAAACGTTACTCGTGGGTCCCAAAATAATATTTGTACTGTTTTTTAACAAGTGTGCGTTACGCAATCCTTTTTTTCTTAAACACTTTGCATAGAAGAATTTGTATTAGAATTTAGTTCGAAACCTTAATAACAATTAATCGGAGGACAAGTAACATCCGTTTTGCTAAATCTGGAAAAAATTAATTCAGCCTGGAGACCATATTAGACAAGTACTCATGTGCGAATATTAAAAATGGTTTTGGTTATAGGATAACACAATTGATCACTGTCTGAGTCACAGGAATTATCCCGAAACGTCGTACAATCTATAACGTACAACATGTCGAAATAATGCTTGATTATACACAAAATTCCAAAATCAAGAGCGTTGCGCCTGCGTAATCATTGTTATCTATGTGCAAATTGACTCTCATTTCATTGACCTAGTTTTTTGAATAACGGATGCGTAGCCATTCGTTGTATTTAATTAAGGAAATTCAAATAAATGCATAGTAGCTGATTTTGTAATTCGTCCTCGATTGAATGCATGACTGATGCGCTATTGGAACGAGAAAATCACATCTTAGTCCAATAAAGAGACGGAGAGGGAAAAACACGGCATGTTTATCATGTGTAGACGGTAAGTGGCCTTATGCAAGTTTACTTAGAGTTTCCAAAGTAATTGATAAAGTTTTGCTTAAACCAATAAATCTAGCTGATTGTGATAAAAATTCGACAGTTAAGAGTTGATATCAAATCACATAATTAAAACAGGAAACTATCGACAATCATCCGACATTTTCGCACGACGTTTGCAACAATCCAAAGGTCTTCTTCTCCCCTTAAAAATTTCAATTCCCGACAATTTCTAGCATCGCCATACGTTCATCTCTGATGGAATAAATGAGCAACGGAATTGTAGAAACTCGAAGACGTAAACTAATGAGTTTACAGATTCATGTGTTGAAGTTGAGGATAATAATTTCCCACGCTCAAGCTTCATTACCCGGCCTCCGAAAGTCTTCGACTGGACATTTCGAAAAACGTTTTAGAGAACATGTCAACTAATTCGATTCGTTTCTAATAACGCAGCAAAAACTCCCAACGATACCAGTTAGTTGTCATGAAAAGAAGCTTAATTAATTGTATCTACTAGTAGCGTAACTGTCACGGCATGTGTGACAACGTGATGTTTAATAAAAAATGTGTTTGACAGTAATAGCTACAGGATAATTCCTTTCTGCAAGTCCAGGATGAATACTTTGACTCGCTATTGGTAGACGAGACGAAAATTTTCTCATTACACCGACAATATTACTTGCTTTATGATTGATTATCTCTACTATATTTTATTGGGTTTGTTATTCTGTGACAAAACAATATCGCGGATGTGACGGATGTGCCGTATGACCGGTTAAATTGACGGACACCACGTATATCTCGGAGTTACCCGAAGTAGTGCAACTTGAACTCTATCTAAAATGTTGAGGCATTCGAATATATGAATTTATTTATTTATTTAATCCAAATAAAATAACTTGCTATTTACCGTTAATCTGCGGATATCATTGTCATTATAATTAAACATTTTGGATTAAACATTTTGGTTGCGGACACAGATAAAGATTGTCTTAAAAATGACAAGTTTTCCGAAAACGCAACTCGTACGATAACGAAATTAGTGTCGTAACACACTGACATCGCATAGTAGCAACCGATTATAAAAGAAAATGTGAGCGACCTAGCATCAAAGTTTTGAAGCGAAAGTTATAAACAATTATGTACACCAGGGTTGTAATCTATCAATAAATCTTTTCTTCAATAACTATTGTATTTCTAAATTTGACGGTACAGAATCATTTGTTTGTTTATGTATACCGTCATAGTGAAAGAAACGTTTGAAACACAAGTTTATTAGCCAATAACATTGTAATAATTACTTGATGTGATCAATGTGTGTATGTGTGTGTGTGCGTGTGTATGTCGTTTAATGTACGCAACCATACGTCCGGACACACGAAAAGAGCTTACTTGTTAGAGAAGTTTCTGTTACAAACAAAAGCCTGCTTTTGCTTCTCGGACGTATACTGTTTTTCTCCCCTTTGCTCTTCTGCGCAGAAAAAGTGTTTGAAACACGGACTCATTTTTGATTACCAAATTTGTTGATCAATCAACATGGTCTACTCCTGTTGAGTTTTTCCCGCTTGCTGTTCCCTTGGCTCTCAATTTTTAACATTTCATTTCTTTTTTTAATGGGAAAGGAAAATCCGTTTTTCTTTGTTCTGTATACAATCATTAACAATTAGTCTGCCAATGATATCAACGTCAACGCGCTATTGGTTAAATTCTAATACAAATTGTTGTAAATCTTTCGACGATCATCCAATCGGACTATTACGAATTACTTTATTATTGTGCGCGCCCGGAACATTCCATTTACTGTATTTCTCGCGGATTTACTCGGTGCATTTTGGTTTGAAAGCGAATTAATATGAATAAGAGACTTGTATATGTACTATTATTCCAAGTATTTGGAATATATACAAGCTCATCTGCACAATGTATAAATGTTTAAGTGATTATTCGCAGATTATCTGGCCAACTTTCGCGATAAATCTTTACACAAATTACAATTAGATTATCGTAAAACCAATCTCCCAGAAAAAAACACGAGATCGTGCACATTTAGAAACAAGTTTGGTAATGAATGCCTTGTAATCATTATGGCTGTTTACTAATACGTGAATATCTCGAACGCCCGGAGAAATTTCTCCTTGACTCGTTGATTATGATTACACCGATCAACATTTAGCAAGAAAGTGTTAAGATTAGCGTACCATTATATTTTATTTCACGTTTGTTATTCATGGGCGTGATGTACAAATCAGTATTAACTGGCCTCAAGACTATATTACTATCATTTTAGCAATTCTTTCGGAGAAGCTTGTTGCGATTCTCTCAAAAAATTCCCTACTTTTGGTATCCCCAACTAATGTTAAGGTGTGGTGATGTGATGCTCAGAGTTCCAATATAGTTCATGCAACGCATACTTGCTATAAAGGTTGTGTAGAAAACCCGAGCTCTTAAATAAGGTAAACCACAATTAACGGATTACAATCCTAGATTCAAATTGAGTATTCTGTATTCAACAATGTTGTATCATGATATTACGATACAGCGTGCAAATTATTTTTTACTCAACGAACTCTGAACAGAACTGGTGCAAATTCGATAGATATGGAGGTATATAATTTTGGGACAATTTGAGCCAATAAAAAGTACACTCAGCTATAATGCACGCTTTACTATCATGTGACTTTCAATAGTAAAACATACGAACTTCAAACTCGATAACTTTTGAGCGAAACAAGCTACGCTTATAAAATCTGTGCTGCTACAACGCTTGCCCCAAAAGAAATAGAGAAACATTTTTGATTTTAGTATAAAAAAGTAAAGTAATATTCCTCAAAACGCGATTTTATATACAAAAACCGATCATTAAAGGTTGAGTTAGATAGAAATTACACTCACTGAACAAACCAAATTTATGTCTAGTGTTTGTTTTCGTTTTTATTTAAAACAATCCCGTATGGAACAACATTACTTCTTACCTCTATTCTTCACCTGTAACGATATGACGGTACCATTTTCTATATTACAGTCAACTGCCGATAATTCGACCTCCGATAATTCGATCGCTCGAGCAAGACCCGATGTTTTTTTATTATTATTATTGTTTTCCTTAAGTACGGTCTGCCGTTAATTCGACTTGTACGTTAATTCAACCGATGATTCCGGAACTGAGACGGTCGAATTAAGGCAGTTGACTG